GGAGAGGGGGAAAGGAACAAGAAAATGAGAATCCGGCGATGTCAAGGGCAATTTTCTTCACTTTTAACACTGCAACTTGTATCCTTGCGAGGGGAGGGGGGAGGAGGGAGGGAAGGGAGGGGAGGAAGACCCCTTGCCCCGTCCCCTTGGATCCCTCGTCAATGACGGATGGTCGGAGTGTCCGAAAAAATGAAAAAATTGCTAGCTGCACAGACTACGAACCATAATATAAAATCATTATTTTTTTAGGCAATTCAGGGAGATTAAAAATTTTGCATAAAATTTTACCTGTGCATCGAGTGCTCTCAAAATCGAATCGAATGCCCTTCTACAGGGAGCATAATATAATTCAATGCCAATTGAACGAGCAATTTCGGCTGTTAGTGGTCGCGAAATGTAAGTTTTCTTCGATCGTTGTGATGCATTTACTGCTTAAAATATCCGAAAAAAATGGTATTTTTTAAAAAAAAAGTTCATAAATTTTACCAAAATTGTTAGAAAGGACTCAAAAATTGCTATGAAAATCTGGTTTTAGAGATATTACTAGAATTCTTCCACGCTCCCATTGCTTGACCCTTCAATCTTGGGCTGCATATCTCACGGATAACGCACACCGCCTGCCCGATGCATGTGCACCGCTTCTTTGGTGATTACCCCAGCTGTTATCTACTTTCTCGAAGGTAGGATAACTAACAGTGGTTCGAACCATAGACGGATTCAGAACGGATTCCTGGAGCACGGGGGGAGGGGGAGATGGCCGGTGGGAGGAAAACTGGGGCTCCTGGGAGGTGGAGCGGGGACAGGGGGCGGGGGGCGAGGAGAAGGCGATGGAAGTAAGGAGGAAAGTCCCCTCCCGCCCTGGAACTATGCAAAAACTAGGGAAAGAGTCGTAACACTGCTACTTAGGGTTACTTTAGGTTTTAGTTTACTTTAGTTTTAGCTTTTAGACCCGGGCTTTTGCAGCATTGGTGCCTGTGCCGCTGGAGAGTTCGGTCCCCCTGGATCCGCCTATGACCGAGTCAAATTTGCTTTTTTCGACATGCCTGGAGTTGCCAGATTTGTGCTTCGCTATTTACTTAGACTTTGCCTAGTCTGTTGCTATTTCCAAAAACCTGACCTGTTGCTATGCTCAGGCCAAATTTTTTTTGAAGCTTTCAAGAATATAACAAAAAAAA